CAAACTATAGAGAGAATACCTAGAGAGAAGTCTAAATCTAGATACAATTTGGCTTAGAGATGAGCAGGGAAGAAACATGTATTTTAGAAACAAGGCTAACACCATGTTCTATTTTCCAGAAGATATCTTAGGTAACATTTTTATTGTAGAAGAGTGCGCACTACCATCCAATCCTGCTGGGTTGGCAGTTCCCCTGGAATCCTCAAGCATTACAACTTGTATTTTATTATTCTATTTTTATTTTTATAGAAGTGGGTCTAATGTTTTTTTGAAGTACATGCGCTGTCTTTAACTTCTCTTGTTCTGTACTGGGGAGGAGCCACGTGTATAGATCACTGTGTGATGGAAGTGAATGGCTCTTTTAGGAGCCTATACAGTTCCAGTACCACTAGTAGTGTCGTTATGGTTCAGTATAATGGAACTGTGTTCATTTCACACTTCATGGAGCAAACCACAATCAGTTTCAATTTATGAGTAAACAAAAGAAATGAGAGTGATGAAGAACCACCTTAATGACTGGTTACTTGATATGGCTAGAATATACAGTTTAATGTACAAAATCAGTACAATTGACAGAAGGTACGGCTAATGTGACTGCAATTTCCAAGGCAGTCAGCAGAGATGCATTTCATGGCAAGAAGGTTGTAGTAAAAGAGCTCTCAAAATGGCAAATAGTTTTTTAAAAAGAAAAAGTGGATCTTTAGAATATTTAATAGTTTTCTCTCTTTTGCAATTACTTTGCAAATAATTCAAGATCATGCGAGACAAGACAACACTGTTCGTAAACCATTTCTGTAACTGCAGCCAATTCAATTCCAGTCAATTCCATTTCTGCAAAATAAAGCAGGATGCTGGTTATGAAGTATTAGACCTACCCAGCTTTGCTGGTTATTCTTTTAGGCCCTAATTTTTGTTATCTGATTGAATTGATGTTTTCATGGCTTCAAATTTGGAAGTTCACAAGTTAAATTTTGTGCTACACCTCAAAACCACATCTTTAAAATGCCACAAAATAACATTTACATGAGTTTCTGTGCATTCCATTCATTAGTGTATTTCTAGGCCAAATGGCATCATTTCTGAAACCAGACCAAAAAAGGCTCTTAGACACACATCATTGTGCCAATGCCCGACCTGTTTCTGCCTCGACTACACACAAAGTTTCTTTAAAGCAGACACTATTTCATGCTGTTGCTTTACAGTAAATTACCCGTCATATGTGTCAGATACCAAGAAACTGTGGCAGACTAGTATTATGGATGGAAGTTAGCAATAATACTGTTACTCATCATTTCAATTTTTTGTTTTTCATCATAGACTTTTCAATGGATTCAGATGGTACTGGTTCAAAATGTAGTATTATTTTATCTGTATGATCATCAATTTGTAGACCATTTCATCAAAATTAATAAACACACCTGCAACAAGTTGTTTAAAGCTTCGACTATGGAAGTTAGGTAAGCATGCATAATGAGCCACTTGCCAATGCCCTCAGGCTCCATTCTGTTTTCAACAGACCATTGCCAGTCATACCTTTAACAGCAACAGTGTCGCTGCTTAGTCTCAATATGGGAGAATCAACATTGCCAAGCCCTCTTGCCAGTGACTCAAACTGAAGCCAATGAGGAAACTATACACTGCTCCAACTCATATATCTATAGGCAATGAATATGAGAAGCTCTCGGATGAAATGAATTTTAAGCAGTTTCTGAAAAATATAAGCCAGCACTATTTGTTCAAAGTTCCGAGTTTCTCCAGAGACTTTTATGGGGCAAATGAAATGTCATCCATCATTGAAGGGACATATTTATAACACAACACACTCAAGAGTCAACTAGAGTCACTTCAAAACATTTTAAAAGTGATGTAGACATTCCTGATACAACAAATAATAATACCAACGAGACACCTACGGTGCATGGCCTCGCCCCTATAGCTGCTATGGTGCATGCCTACACTTCAATAACTGTTTGATTATCAGCATGAAGAGAGTCTGCTCAACACTAGCTTCCTACAGTTGCACTTCCTCTTGAATACCTGCAGAAGTAGCAGCACTGCAGCACATACATGCAAGCAGCTCCAGCCCCTCCCATGCATGTAGATTGAAAGGTGTGGCATTCCATGACTGGAATGAGTGGCAGCAAGAAGACCATGTGAGAAAGAAGCTTCACTTTTCCTTTACTAATCAGCAATATATGATAAACTTGCTGACAAAAAAAGTTGCTGCCTTTGTATATTTGAGATAGTATAGGTACTTTAGTACCTATAACCCAGCAAGTTGTTGCTCTAGCGCTGCACAAACGAGTGACCTCAACAATTTCAAGTAAGTATAACTCTTCATCAAGTAAGATTTAGAGAAATCTGTTCATAATTTTTGAAGGCCATGTTCTAATCTACTGAAAAATGCTACCAGCTATCTCTAAAGTGCCAACACAACGGAACTTGGCCCAACTACTCGATTTTCTTACTTTGAAGCTTCTGTACCTAGCACTTGTATTTGAGCAACACAAAACAGTTAAGAAAGACTTTTTCACGTCAAAAAGAAAGATCTAGGAGCTTAGAACACGCTGTGCTAAAGTTATTGTTTATTAAAAACAAATTTCAGTTGTACAGAATGAATGAATGAATGAATGACAGACACACACAACAACTACCTATACCTCGCGTAGGCGAGGCCAATAATAATAATGAAAAGTATAGCGAAAATAGACTCCGGGTCAAAATATAAACTCTCCTTGGATCTTAAAATGCAATTTAGATTTATTCATAACAATTCAAAAACATGTTTCGAAAATATAGGGCAACTAATGGCATTGACACCACTGCCTTTAGTCGCAAAAGTGACAGCATCATTCATTGTAGGAAAAGAAAAGGAATCAGTAAAGAGTGGTGATGTTTTAATAATTACAGGGATCAAAAGAAAAAGAATAGGGCAAAATAGACTTCAATGCATTGAAACATTTTCTGAAATAAGGAAGATTTTACACCAAAGTTGTGTAGGCTTTTTCAAAATTGATCACTATGCGACTCGTTTAGATCTGAAAACACTAATGCAGCATGTTTTAATGCCGCTTCACTGCAAAATGTTTGAGAAACCAACATCTACCCTGTCACAACATGTGAAATTAATGTAGAAGACTGACTCAAGAATATGGTCCAATTCCTGGGCCTGCAAGAGTAGGACCCTTGTATACAAGACCTGGGCCTGCAATTGCAAGGCCACTATTTGCTGCATGTATGCATGCCAATTATGATAAAGTTTTTACAATTATTGATCACTAAAATTTACTTATTCGACTGCATAATGTTAATCATTCTGTAAAATTTTGATAATTACAATAAGAATGAAAATGAATTTCGGCCTATACTCACAACAGGAAGAGTAGTGTATTTTGGTATTAATTACTACTGCATGTTCATTGCTCTCCACAATGGAAAATTCGACCAATTGAACCCAAAACTTCCAAAGACACTTGGAAAGTATGACAAAGAAGATGTTGCATTGCTCGTCCACAATTAAGGTATTTTTATCACCGATCATCCCCTGATGTTCTCAATAAAATTGGTTGGTCGGTGCATACAACTGTAACTCACAGCCCCCACTAATACCAGATTGAGGATTTTAATGAGTATAGCATCCCAAATCATGACAACAATTTAATTAATAAGAGCTGATCATAGCGAAGAGCCAATCAATCTTATTAAAACACAGATAACCCCCAAGGTTGTTTCCAGAATTGTTTTTTTGGTAAGAAAGAAATTGTATTTGTAAGCAATAAAATTTACTTACATAATCTCTTTAATTTCAGTTGGATCCAGATACAGTTTGGCTAAGGGACGAACATGGAAGATATGTATTCATCCGTAATAAAACAAATACACAGTTTGAGTTCCAGAAATAAATGCCATGTCAGAAACTACATGCAGAAGGGCATCAGCTACCAATGAATCCTACAATGATAATCACAGTGGCTTCGCATGGGCCATGCCAGAACTAGAAAAACTCACCCTATGTCTCTATCGCCTGTTATAAGGTCAATCGAAACAAGTTGACTTAAACTAAACTTAAATTTTAATCATCTTATTTTTAAATGTAGAAACTGTAAAAATTAATGGCAATATCTATGAAGTAAATTAATGGTTCGTTATAACATCAATCATGTTTTATAATATGGTATTTTTGTGTTTTTTGTAATTTTAGTCTCCAGATCAACATTTTGTTTCACCCTATACTATAAAGAAATAGATGTTTTTGCAGTGTCTGATTATATTCTTCGGTGGAGTCAAAATGGTCCTCAAAATTTAGGCAGCTATCCTGTTTGTCATTGCATTTTTGGCTGTGCTCTTTTTTCACAATGTGTCCCATAATGCAATAAGAACAGCAGTGACTGCTTCATCGTGATCAACTGGCAGCTTTCCTTTAGATTCAAAGAAGCTCCATTCTCGCAATTGATATATCAGAAAAGGCAAAAAATGCATCCGAGAACAGATGGTGGCCGCTGAAGCAATACTTAAACACATCAAGAGACATCCAGTAATTGTAGCTGCCACTAAGGCAGATCTTAAATCCGAAATAACGTAATGACATTCGTGAGTGAATGGGCTACAAAGTGCAAAGTAAATGTAATTGAAACTAGTTCCATTGAAAACTTTAACATTATAGAAGCATTTTGGCTTTTAGCAACTAAAATTTACAAAAAGAATATCAATGAGCCTTTGACTCCTAAACATATGTGCTGGTTCATACGGGCAAGATATTAGCTGCTTAGGATCTCCATCTTCTTATTGATTCTGAAGCAGGACCTCATTTAAGAGACATAAAAGTTATACATCTATTGTCATCTACTCAATTCATCTCCACAACACAAAACAATTCTTCTGCCATTTTTAGGAGTACAGTACATTCAGCGCATGCACATGTATATGTATTACATGTACATATACATGTAAGTATTACATTATACATGTATCATGAATTATATGTGTACATATACATGTACATTCAGTGCATTGTACCTCTACAGCAGCCTTCAATGCATCCAGTGATGGGGAGCTATCAGTAATGGACCTCTGTAATGCCTTGGCAGCAGGAACTAGTGAGTCCAACTACAATATGTAAATAAGGATTGCACAATAGTTCTAAAAATAGTAACAATAGTTCTAAAAATAGTAACAATAGTTCTAAAAATAGTAACAATAGTTCTAAAAATAGTAACAACAGTTCTAAAAATAGTAACAACAGTTTTTATTCCATGACATTGTTATTAGATGCCCATATGACTCAAAAATCTTTCAGAGTCAGTTCAAGCTTTCTACATGCAGAGCAAAGTGAACACATGGAAGACTTGGGGACATTTCAGGGCCAATTTGGGAAAAACTGAATACATGGAATTTGGAGCAACTTTTAAAATTCGTAAAAAATACTAATTTGATTGGAATCAGCTCACAGTTGATACAAAAGATAAGGACACGTATATATATCAGAAAAAAATTAATGGAGAATTTTCTCCTTGTGATTTTTGTATAAATACCCTGTACTAGAATACCGGCTCTTTGGCATAATTTTGAGCAACTTGACAATTAATCCACTGACAAGAAGCTCTAGTATGACTATGACAAACATATGTAGTTGTACATTCAAATGTACATATGCATATGTACATGTACATGTACATGTATACATGTGTATCTTACCATTGTTCTGTCTCCTACATCAGCTCCACCATACTGCTTTACGGCTCTTATTCCTTCCATCAGAGACTCCACCCACTTACTGAGACACTCCCCTTTACCAATCACCCTTGATCCTGATGTCAATAACAGTGTATAGATCTAATCATAAATATAATGAGAATTAATAAAATGGAATATTAACAAATTTGTAACATTTTACATACAGTACATGTACGTGACATTTGTTTTAACAATTTTACTATAATGAAAGTGGAAAGAATTGTAAATTAAAAGGATCATTATGAATATACATGTAATTAGGTAATTTAAAATACACAAAAAGTAAATTTATAAGTACATACAATAGATGTATGTATGTATATATATACAATACATGTATACAAGCTGGTAGGTATACACATGTGCATGTACAGTACATGTAGTAGCTTACAGCTCCTGATGTTCCTCCCATACTTCTCTCAATGGCATCAGATACAGATAGCAATGCTTCTGAGGGTTCATCCCATGGTATCTTATCAATGCACTCAGTCAATGCTACAAAAAAAGAGAAGAAATACACTTACACTATGCATAAAGATACAGTACATTACATGTACATGTACCTCTCATTGAATAGTACAATTAAGTACATGTACATGAATGAATTTAACACTAAACTTGATAAAGGTATATAGTCCATACTTTTTTGGCTCATACTTGGGTAACTCAACAATCTTTTATCAGAATCAGCTCAAACTTTCTACAAAGTTTAAGGACATCAATATGTATCAGAAAATGTAATAAAATTTTGGGGTGATTTTGGAGCCATTTTTTGAAAAAAACCATGGGCTATAGCCTTGGGTATTTTTCAGATTTTTGGCGTTTTCTTAAAATGGCCGTAACTTGAAAAAATAAAGTCGGAATCAGCTCAAACTTTCTATGTAGCATAAGGACGTCAATATGTATCAGAAAATGTAATTAAAATTTGGGGTGATTTCGGAGCCATTTTTTGAAAAAAACCATGGGCTATAGCCTTGGGTATTTTTCAGATTTTTGTTGTTTTCTTAAAATGGCTGTAACTTGAAAAAATAAAGTCGGAATCAGCTCAAACTTTCTACGTAGCATAAGGTAGTTTTCTAAAAAGCTCATAACCACAGACTTTTTAATCAAAACTAATTCAAACTTTCTACAAAGTACAAGGGCATTACAATTCACAAAACATCAGGAAATATACATGTACATGTATGCACAAAACATGTAGTCCTGTATACACAAATGTATGTAGATGTAGTTATGTATACCGTATAGCGCTTTAATTTTGCGGAGCTAAAATTTTGTGGATTGATAAAAATCAATTTTTCGCGGAAATAATTTTTGCGGATTCGAAATGTTAGTGCCACACCTTTAATGGCAATTGAAATTTTAGCGGATCTTTAATTTCGCAGTTTCATGCTAACCGTGAAAATAACGAAAGTTTAGCTCCTCAAAAATAAAGCACTCTTTTTATTGTTGCGATAATTAAAGTACATTTACATGTACATGTAGCTCATGCTGACCTTTAGCTCCAGCTTTTAAAGTGCTCCCACAATCGCCATCTCCACTTCCTCTATCCAAATCATCTAGTTCTTCCTCAGCAGCTGTCAGTGACTTGCATATGGAGACTACACAATCTCTCATCTTCTGACCTGAAGACCAATATCAACAACAATAATAATTCATGTACATGTAACTATAATATATACATGTATATAATGATGATATGTGGCTATAATCACAATAAAGGTGGCTTCACAATAATTATGGCATTACAATAATGCTAAAATAGAATTTGGCTCTATTTTAGTATGAAGCCTCCTACATCAAAAGGTCAAATTGCCCACACTTTCGATTAAAAATTGACCTTTGTTAACTTAAAGCTAATGATGAATCTCTCAAAATCACTCAAAGTATATACATGTATGCTCTGACTGGCTTACCAACAGTAGTAACAGGTGGCCCAATAGTTGATTTCAACTCTGTTTCCCTCTTACTCCCTGATCCTATTATTGTAGCATTGTTACTATTCCTCTCCTGACTACCATCAGGACCTAGTGGCTGATTGGGCCAACCAGGAGCAGTAGTGGGATAATCTATAAGAAATAAACTAATGAATAATAATAATAGGAATTATAAAATATATCCAAAAATAACTAAAGCCTAGTTTCCATATGTTGTATGGAGTCTGTGTTAGCATAAAACTAACTGTTATAATAGAGATAGAACTGAGCTCTAGCTCCAAGATTGTTGCAAGAGTGCTGTTGTACAGCAAATTGCACGGACCTTGCAAGCCAATTCATAAACCGATCTATGAACTTCAAGGGTACTGTCTAAATTGAGACTTGTCTTGTATTGTGTGATCACATTACCACCTACATGTACATGTATTTGGCATGCAGTTTGCAAGGTCTAATGCAAATAGCTGTATTTAAGGCAAATAACCATAAACCAGCACTATAGGAATTTAGCAAATAACATACCAAGATATTCTGTCCAGTGATCCTTAATTCTTATTAATGTTAGTGACACTCCAGCCATTTCCAATGAAGTCATCAATGATCCCATATAAGCTCTTGTGACATTATAGCATAACTTGCTAGCTAATAAATAGAAAGATCATGTGACTGTCATGTGATGCATTAAAGACTCACTTAAATAGTCAATGGCAGAACCAGCAATGAGAGATAACTCTAAATTTGATGTTCCTCCTAAATTATTAACAACCAATCCAACATTAGTACCTGCAATGAAACAAAGTAATGAACACCATTATAGTGACTGTTGCTATACAAATATAATATGTATTGATACTGTCTATAGTGCTTGCAATGGTTAGTGTATGTAAATATATCTATTGTACTGTATGATACCATTAGGTGGATTGAAGTACTGATATCCTGATTCAGTGGAGGTAAGGTGATCCAACAGCCTAGCAACTACCTCATTAGCTGATTGCAACTGGGAAAAAAAATTAATTAAGAGCAAATAAATTTTAAATTAGCAAAAAATTATAATAATGTATAGTGTGTTATTTTCAGACAAATAATTTAATTGTCATGGTTGACAGCTTTGTAGGTTGTAATTTTGTAGTACATGTATACCCAAAAGGCTATACCCCCAAACCACAAAACCTACAAAGGCAGCTAGACTACAAGCTATACAAGCATATGGTGCATGTACACATACATTTGTTCTCTCTACTCCAGCTTCTCCATGAATCCCAAGGCCTAACTCCATCTCATTCTCTCCTAATTGAAATGATGGTTTGTGTCCAGGAACAGAACAAGGAGACAGGCTCACACTCATTGTACCTAAGACAAGAAAAACAAAAATAGATTCTACAAGAGACACTGCAACTCCAGTGGGCAGGGGCATGTGGTTACAAGGGACAGTTTGGATAAACAAAGGCTATGGTCTGTGGGATAGGTGTTTTTTTAACAGACCAAAGCATTAAAGTAATACCTTTGTTCTAGTATACATGGCAAAGCTAAAACTCAACATACATGTTGCTTGCAACATTTGTGGCTACATTGATCTTGTAAGCAACATGTTGCCAGTAATACAATGTAGAAAGCTGTTCAACATGCTACTTAACAGATTGAAGTAACTAAAATTGTTGCTAGCAACATGATGCCTAATGCATGCAGGACATGGATTTACAATAATTATAATGCTAGGCCTAACAATACATTGATGCTGCAGTTCTAATTAGCGTAAAGCATACACCAAAAGGTGAAATTGCCCACAATTTTGATTAAAAAATAACAATAAGGTCACTACAGTAGCCTAGTATCACACAGTAAACTAACCTTAAGTGTATGTGACAAAGAAATAAATGCATAATACACAATGGGCCACATTAAGTAGAGTGTATTGTACATGTACATGTATTAACTCATATACCAATGGAGTCTGCCACTTCTTGAGCAGTAGCTGCTACTTCATCCAATGAACAACCTTTCTCTGCCATTGCTCCTGCTATCTGTAATTATAAAGAAAAATAACAACAAGAAAGACAAGACAGAGAGAGCCAAAAAGCACCAAAACCCAACTACCATATAGGTAGCTGTTTTTACTAATGCATCAGTTTGGTTATATAAAGTGTGTGCTAGTAAGGTAAGATAAGCACCTGCTAAAGGTAGGTCTGCAGATAAAGCTACTAGAGAACAGGTATGCTCCCAGCCCTTGACAGACATCCTTCTTTCAACTTCTCTGCTGTGCCCAATTTGCCATGTGGTATTGTGGTTGGAGGAATGGGTTGGGTTACTGGGTGTGTGTGGTTTTTTCTGTACATGTATGGGTTTTTTTATAAATGCATTGTGAGGGATTCAGGGGGCCCCCATGAGGGACAAAGGAATGTTGAGTAACATTATGTTGATTGTAATTACTGAGCATGTATCTTAATATCAAGTATCATTCTACTGTAAAGCTCAATGATAATACACTGTATAATAATAATAATAATAAATTAAATAAATAAATAAGTAATAATAATAAAATTGAAGACAAACAATCAGTGCTAGATCAATTACCTTGTGTACTAATATAGTCCCACATAGTCCTCTCCTGCCAGCTGATTTACCAGTGGATGGTAGTGCAGTATCTTCACCAACAATAATCATTCTAACATCTAGTCCTAGTTCACTCTTAGCTCTTTCGGCTGCAATGCCAAAGTTCAATCTGTCTCCAGTGTAGTTCTTAACGATCATTAGTACACCGGCTGGTGAAAAGATAGCCCTACAATGAATAATCATCAATAATGTACACGTAATGTATGTTGTAAAAAAATTGAGCCGAATGAGGCTGAGAGTCCAATCAAAATTGAACTTTTGTGAATTTTTAAAGTTGCTCAAAAATTCTTAAGAAAACCCTGTACTATAGTACTGTACATAGTCTGTAATCAAAAATGAATAATTTATTTTTTCTCTGATATATTATACTAATAGTGTACATAACAATGATAAAATGGTACATTTTTGTGGCAATGAGCACTGTAATTTATACGCTGCAGCATAACTTCAATAAAATTAATATTACATTATTTTGATTTCTCTTACTTTAATGCTGCTAGTATGGAATCAGTGGGAGGTGATGCGAACACAGCTCCTGCTACAGCACAACTTAACATTCCTTTACCTACAAAACCAGCATGAGCGGGTTCATGACCACTGCCACCTCCAGACAGTAAAGTTACCTATTTATAATAATATACATGTAAGATTATATAATTAATGCGTCTTTGAGTTAATAAGCGAATGCAAATAATTAATTTAGTCTTCTAAAAAACAGTAATAATAATAAATTTAGATTCACAAGGAGGCAGGCTGGGCTGGTGACTGACTATTTATAAACATGACCACCAACACAAATTTCTAATAAAAAGCTACATTGGCATACAGTATACATGTGACATGTACATTGTACATCAATCGAACAATGGCTGTAATTCAAGGCAATATCATTGGTTTTTAAAACATCACAAGTTTCTGCCTTCACAGCCAGCCAACCCTTTTCAATTTATCATATTTTACAATAAGTAAAAATTTGCGCTAAATCCAAAATAAAATTCACAAAAAGAAGACAGCATCGCAACAAAGGTGTGGCTCAATTTTAAGTACCAAAACCCTAACCCCAACACTATAACCTAAGCTCTCACTAAAACTACAAATGCCCCACACTTTTTCCAGTGCCGTTTTCTTATATGCGACCCCAACTAACGTACTAATCTTTACTATATTTAAACAAATCTCGACATTCTACAAACCTACCGTACCTTTCCAGTCTTAATGAGGTCCTCAATATCAGCTCTGAGTACCACTCTATGACCAGACAACAGCCTCAGGCCGGGATGAACACTAACTAGACCATGAAGAGACTCATCTACCGCTCTATCTGGAGAATTTATCAACTTCTTGCTCATCTCAATATTATGGCGGCTCGGGGGGCTCTCTTCACTGCCCACGTGCATTAACTTTAATAATAATGAATTAATTAATAGGGAGCTAATCTGTCTGCGCATTTGCCTAGGTCTCTCTATTTTCGATAATTTTTGTTCATAAGCGGAAGAAGGACAACTTCTAGACTAGTGTTTCTATAAACAGAGACATGCCACAAGCCCAAATGCTCTTCTTTTTGAGCTAGAACATAAAATAAAATTAAAAATCATTTTCATTGTGGGCGCCGTGTAATTTTTTATTATTCAATATTCAAATTTTTATTTGTGATGCGTGGGTGGTAGAGTATCACGTGATTTTGTTGCAGAGAGCTAGAGAGCCAGAGAGGTTTGGGTAAATTGGGTCAACAGTACAGGGTCATAGATATTGTGGGGCTAGCCTCCCCCATTTGCTATGGCGTCTAAAAGTAAGTCCTATTGTTACTATTCCAGTGATCATGTACTGTCAATCATTGATGTATAGATCAACTGATGGAAAGAGCTGGTCACCGCACTGCATCAGTAGGTGATTCACTGTATGTGTGGGCTGGTTTTCAGGATGGTTCACCTGGAGGACATGATAGTGAAGAGAAGAGAAGGTTCTTTAGTAATATACAGCACTTTACTCCTTCAACTGGTCAATGGATCACTAGAGCTACTACTGGTACTCCTCCATTAGGAGTGGGTGCATACTGCTGTACTGCAATAAATGATCTATTGTTTTATTTCGGGGGAGATTGTGGCCATCCTGACTGCTATCACAACAGTATTACACAACTTGATACCGTTAGTCTTCAATGGAGAGAATTAGAACCAACTGATGCAAGTAGACCAGTTATGAGGAGAGGTTTTGGTGGAATGATATCATTTGAACATGATGGAGTACACCATTTACTAATGATAGGAGGAGTAGGATCTAAACCAGCTGTACAACTACCTCATTATAAATATATTGAGTTGCCAAATGGAGCATGGCGTACTAATGAGCACTCAATGTATAATATATCATCAAGTAAGATTTTATTATTGTTTAAAATTATTTTTAGTAATTTTAATTTAGGAAAATGGAGTAATCCTTCAATCATTGGTCAGTGTATACCACCTGCTGCTGGCTTCATCATTGAAAAGATCAACAACACTAGAGCTGTTCTGTTTGGTGGAGTAGAGACTGATGATGCTAAGTATACTGTTACTAACAATATTTGTATATTAGAGATATCAATCAGCACTGTGGTATGTTAAATTATGTGTACTGAATGTATGCACACACACACACACACACACACACACACACACACACACACACACGAAAATTAATTAATGATTTAATACCCACCTACATGTACATGAATATTTAAGTACCAATTAAAAAAGCATGGCAGCATCTAGTTGTGTGATGGCAGTAAAGAAAGACAGCATTCCCTGTAAGTCATGTACTGTATTTTAAAACAATTTATAATGAAAAATTAACTGTATAATCAAAGTACATGTAGCATACAGTGTCCTTTATATGTAACATAAACCATAACTGTGTTCATAGGAGTAGTTAACATAGAGTTCAGTTACACAAACACTTTATTAGTTAAACCAATAGCTGAGTGAGGCTCAGACAGTGCGGGGAGAGTTGGAGCTCCATTAAAGATTCTTTAACCCTCCATTTCTGGTTCTCAAGGCCAGACTGTCTGTCCCTTGCCCAGTAAGCATTTTCAAATAGAAGAGAAACCCTATATTCTGTTAATTTCAACTCTTAAGTCAATGGATATGTTGAGCTTTGAAGATGCCAGTACTTCCAATCGAGGTGCAAGCCCAGCGCTAGGCTACGGTTATGGTAGCTGGGTCCTGAGACATAGCCCGGAGGTTAGGTCGAAACACAAACACACACACACACAAACCCAATTGCAACAATTATTACATTACAGTGATGAATAATTAAATTGACACACAATAATTAATTAACTGCATCATATCATACATGTAATTAATTCACACAAGCTACACATGGTCCTTCAGCTTCAGCTTCTCTTGTTTTTTGAATACTCTTGAACTCCTCTAGTCCAGTGATTACTGAAGTTGCTCTTTGTCTTGCACATGGTACCGTAATTATCAAAATTATCATTTTAAAATGTGTGATTATTATTTTTTATAGATGCATAAATAGGAGTGACGTACGTGTACAAACAAACAAACAAACAGACAGACATACTTTACTTGACTATGTGGGACTCGCTTTTGCTCGCTCCAATTAAGTTTAATCAATTAATTGCATCATACATGTAATCAATAAAAGTACCACATGGCTCCTAATAATGGCTACCCAAACCCACATTGGTCTCCAGTACTAGCTACCCAGGCCCATACTACACTCCCAGAGGAACTAGATGTACATGTAGGTGAGTTGCCATCGATATCCACAAAACCACAGAGCTTACATCAGTTTTACACATGCATGTACAGGTACTACAAAAACTTAGTATCAGCTTATTAAAACAACTCCAGTTTAGGACTATAAAGATTACTTAAAACTTGCCTGACCTGACTGAAGTGGATTTGGTAGAGCAGGGAGAGTTGGGTACCCAAAAAAATGTTTTAACCTGCCACATCTGGTTCTCAAGGCCAGACTGCCGGTCCCTTCGGAGGGTCATGTGAGAAAAACCACACCTCTTACTATAGTGACTAACACGCATGAACAAGCAGCAATAATGGTAACAAAAACTAACTAATAGCAAATTTAACCAAACCACATAAACAAAACTAGAGCAAAGACCATCTGATGGCGACCTTATAACAAAGGTCAATGGGAGGGAATCACGGGCATTGGCCAATCATTCCAATCGAGGTGCACCCCCAGTGCTAGGCTATGGCCATGGTTAGCTGGGTTCAGATATTTGTATATCTCCCAAAAACACACACAAATTCATTGTTAACGGGTGTGGTTATTTTATTTATTAGTTCTGGCAGTGTATAAAGAAACCTGAAGCAATAGACCAATGGCCTGTGGGTAGATCCTATCATGGAGGTGCTATTATTATAACTGGATCAGACTGTCCTATGCTAGTGATAAGTGGTGGGGAGGATGAGAATGATGATACATTAGATGATTGTTGGATCTTTAACCTCACTCAACATTCCTGGATAAAGGTATGTACAGTGAGATACATGTAAATTATTAATTTATTTCTATTAACAGTTAGATGTACCTCACTCTGTTAGTAAGAGAGATGGTCATTCTCTCTCAGTGTTCATTATGAGTCCTCATTGTGTCTGGATAATAACTGCCGGAGGAGATGTTGATAATAGCACATTATTCACTGATCCTAACATTGCTATGTTAACTGAACTAGGTCAGTGTATGATTTAAATATGAACATGCATGTAAAAATGATTTAGATTTCAACAGTATGACAAGTTGCTGTGTCAGCAAATGAATCAATTGAAGCATGTGTAACATATGCCACATATTGTTACAATGTATGCATACAGAAGCTCCTATATGTACTGTACTTCATGCAGGCACATGTACATGATAATGGTAATATTGTTTGATTTAATTCATTGTCATTATGATTTTTTTAATGTTTTTATAATCATTAGTTCTTGACAGTAATGGAGGGTGTCTAGTAGGTGATACGTATGATTGTCAAAGGATGACTAGTGAAGAATACAAGATGAAATATCAGCAGCAACTACAGACAGGAAGAAGAATATGGTTGGAGGAGTACCAGAAACCAAGAAAAGGAGATACAGCCAATATTGAGCAAACCGTACAAGCTCTTATGAAGAGTCTTGAAGAGAAGGAGAGAGAAGAAGCAGAGAAAGATCAAGAAATAAGAAGATATCGTCATCAGCTACAAGAGAAGGATAGGGAGCATCAAGTGGTACTGCAGGAGAAGGATAGGGAGCTACAGGAGAAGGATAGGGAGCTACGTGAGTCTCAAGATCACTGGAGTATTAATAAAGATGAGGTGACCTTGACAAAGGAGGAGTTAGGAAGAGGATCTTATGCTGTCGTTACAGTTGGTATCTTTAGAGGTTTAAGAGTAGCTGTCAAGTCACTTCATAATATCATCATTTCAGATTATAACCTAGGTATCTTCTCCAGGGAAATGAGTATAGCATCACAAGTACGTCATCCTAACCTGGTCCAGTTTATTGGTGCAACTAAAGTGGGTAATCCTCTCATCTTGACCGAGCTGATGAGCACTAGTCTTAATCAGGAGATTG